ATCCAGAAAACAGGTTTTTTTTTGCATGTTGGTTTTTTTTTTTTTTTTTTTTTGCATTCTGGTTTTGCTCTTGGTTTTGGGTGGCGTTTTGTTTTGCCTTCTGGTTTTGCTTTGTTTTTTGCATTGGGGTTTTGTTTGGTTGCTTTTTTGCATTTTATTTTGCATTTTCTTTTGGCTTTCCCGCTGTCATTCTCGCTTTTGTCTTTTGCGGATGTGTTTTTTTATCTTCTTCTGGGTGCCCATTGCTCGGTTCAGTTTCCGTTGATGCCCGTGATGCTCCTTGCCTCCATGGAGCCTTCTGAATCTCGGAGATGTTATCTAGCTTTGGGGAGGTGGGGGTGGCCCAAAGCCAGCTAATGAGGGAGATGGATGGAGCTTGTAGCGCTGGCTTCGGGTTTGCTGGGCGGGAGATGGCGGGAGACTGCAGGGGGGAGGGGGGAGTATGGGGAGGCGAAAGGGGGACCAGGGAAGGAACACGTCGGCGACAGACAAGGCAAAAGGGAAGGCAAAGCCAAAGGCAAAAACATGCAAATAAAATGCAACAGTAATGCAAAACAAATGCAAAGAACATGCAAAAAACCTAGGGTTTTTGCATTTTCCATAGTTCTGGGCATCGCAGGCCCAGAGGCTTTGCTTTTTTTGCCCATGGCTTTGCCTTCCATTATGCCTTCCCTTTTCCTGTCTGTCGGCTGTTTTCGTCGACCTTTGCCTTTCCCTCTCTCCGGTAGAGACCCCAACATCTGTGCGGGGGGCGGGCACGCGCAAGAGCGACCACAAAAGTACAACACAAGATTACACGTCATGACCTGCAGTACCACTGAAAAGCAACACGAACTCCAGAGCAGAATGCAAAACATAACAAAGCAGGCGCAGAAACCAAAAGGAAACACCTTGCACAGGACCAAGACTTCCAAGAACACGAGAAAGGACGACAACACAAGGCAAAATGCAAGACACAACCCAACCACAAAAGTAACAACAGCGCAAAACTAAAATTCAAAAAAGCACAACCACAACACGCATGCAAAAACAATACAAAACCAGGATGCAACAAAAACAAAAAACGCAACCAAACTCCGAAGGCAAATCAAATGCAAACCCAGGACGCAAAAACACGCAAAGCCCAATGCAAAATAAATGGTTCAGCTGGCCCATAGTCTGTGGCCGAACAAATCTCATACCAAAAGAGCACCTGCCCGGAGAATATAGATGCCAGGTGCTTCAACTGGGAGTCTTGCAAGGTTTTGACAGGAAGCATTTGTAGCAAACTGCCGAAGTTGCGACGTCACCACATGCTCGCCACCTAGTCCAAGTACTATCTGAATGCCTTAACCCTAAAGCCCGGACCCTGCGTCAAAAGCAAAAGAAGCCCTGTGTCCTGAGAGCAACTCCGATGGCTGAGGAGGTGCAGCTTCCGCGGTCTTGCCTGCAAGGCCTGAGAACCGGGCCATGTGGCACTGTTCACTACGGTCCAGCTTAGGATGCTACTAATACGACGAGACAAAACAAAGGTGCCAAATACCTTAAAGCCCCCCTTCGGTTCAATTCGCTGCAGCTTTCGTGCGGGGCAGTGGCTGGACCATGATCCAGGTGGCCCTGAACAATCCAATTTTGCGTGCAGCTCGGACAAAGATCTTACTGGAGTTGATGCACCTCCATTGAGTTGTCGGGTTGTGATGGACACCTACGAAGGCCTGTTAGGCCTGTTACACCTAAGCTTCTACAGGCAGTCACACTGGTGGGACCCACGACTTAGCGCTACTCAGAAGCGACGCAACCCCTCAATGAGAACTCCTGACAGGATGTCATTCCACACGACCCTCGTCCAGGGCTCACGCTGGGCGCGTGCTTGCTGCGGACCTTGGAGAGATCGCAACTGAGGCTTCTTGGGATCTGCTCAGCATTCTAAGGCTTGAAGTTCGTTTGTGCGTGACTCCCACAAGGAAAAACAAGGCCTTAGCTTCAAAGCCCCAGCTTTTCGCTTCCTGCCATGGCGGGAAGCTGAGGGGTGGAACTGCATGCCTCCCGATGCTGTATTGTCACTACTCGTGGTGTTCAAGGTCCCAACAACAAAACCTCAATATTCCCCGCTCACACGAAGCACCAATGGTTCAGAAGTCCCTTCCCGTGCCCCGGTATAAGAATTATTTCACATAATATACCACAAAAAGGTAGGCCCATACATCACCTGCTTCGGCCCCGTCTAGTATAGGTCCGAAGAGCTGCACGAAAGAGGCATCTTCGATGTCCGTCGCCTCGCGAGCAGAGATCCCAAGGGGCCGTTTTCGGGCCTCCGGGCTTAGAGTTTGGGTTTGGTGGGTGCAGGTTCTGGGAGACTTTGGGACAGGACATACGACCGCGGCCAGAATGGTTTTAGGCCTGAGCTCGAAATGCGAGGGCCGCAGATGTCGAGTTTTATTGGGAGTTTGCCCGCACAAGCTGCAGAGGCTTTCAGGGCTCCTGGTTTCAGGGCAAGTCTCAGGGTTCCAGGGTTTGAGCTCGGAGGCTTTGGGAATCCAACTCATTAATTGCCGCATCATCGAAAGAAGAGAGGAGTCCAATTCGCGAAATCCGAAATCTGAACAGGCAGCCGCTGTCCATACCCTAGCAGTAGCACAAAGCGGATGCATAATGCAAAGTCCAGCTCAGCAGCTCAGACCTTATTCTGCAAACCAACACAGCCCTTCGATGATTGCACTTTAGCCACTAGAACTTTGGCCGCAAAGCCGTCAATCCGACATCGGGTCACCAGAAGTGAATTCCGCAAATGCCCCACCTACACTCACTCCGCCACCAGCCCCACTCCCGCGGCACAGCAAGAGCCCCCGGCACGCCGGTCTCGCATCCTCAATTCCAAAGGGCCTATAGGTTTTCGGGTGTCATAAGCCAGAGCCCCTAAACCCTCCACCTGCCTCCAGCGCTCCAGTCCCCACATGGCAGACGGCCACGAGGACAAGCTTCGGTATCATGGCATCGTGGGAGCAGAGGAATGAGGGCCTCAGGTCTAAGGCCCAGGTTTGTACTTTTAAGATACTGGAGGGTTCCGGGATCACGGTCTTCCAGGTTCTGGGGCTTTCTCAACCTCCGCCATTCCTTCTTCGTCTCTTGCGGTATGGAGTTTCACAAGCTTGTTGAAACTCAAGACTAAGTCCATAAACTCCTGGTCTTGGTTCCACAGAACGGCGGGATTCACGAACCCATGCCTCTCACTCCTCCCCTGCGAAAAGCTGCGAGCGCAGTGTGCCGCATGTCTCAGGAGGGCTTCGGGGCTTCCGTGCGATGCCCCAGGCTCTGGGGTACTTTCGGCTGTGTGCTTTTCGAACCTAGCAGGATCGCCACAGTCATCGGATCAGCGCTTGCATGATCCAGTTGAAGATGCAGGTACCAGGCTGACTAGCGTTCAATTTGGGGCCTTATTGCATGGCAGCTTCAGGGAAATTGCAGTTTGACACCTTGTGTTCACGCTCCTGGTATAAGGATGGTGCTTAGGTCTCGATTGCTACTTGCAGGATCTTGGGCCGCCATGGCAAAAGCCCTAAGTCACTGTCCCCAAACGAACACAGGGACTCCGTGGGGTTGCGGGCTCGGACTTCCAGGCAGGGAAGCCATGCTCCAGGTTCTCCGGAAGCTTTTGGGTACTATAGTATATTATAGTATGTTATAGTATGTTATAGTATACTATAGTATATTATAGTATATTATAGTACATTATAGTAAGTTATAGTACATTGTTCATTCTCCCTGTCCCCCTCCTTTGGGGCCCGACGATGTCTTACCACATGCCTTTGACACCCTCGAAAACCCTTGTGCCTCGGAGCTAGGGCCTTAAATTTCTCAGCTGAGATTTCGACAAAGCCCTTGAACCCTGAACATCGAACTTCGCGTATCGTGCATTTTACGTCTGTGCTCAGCACGCAGCCTGCAGCGATTCTGGGCTCAGTGCAAAGGCCGTGAGTTCAGGGTCCTTAGGTCCTTAGGTCTTAGGCTCGCTACTTGTGAGACTCAGGGGATCTGCCTCGGGCAAAGGTTCAGGGTCGATCTGTCCATCTTATATTATATTATATTGTATTATATTATATTATATTATACTATATTATATTATAATATATTATAATATATTATACTATACTATATTGTATTGTTGTGCATTTGAAGCTAAACCCAATGCGTGAACGCTAAGCCAAGAGCCTTAACTGGACCGACCCTTGGTGGCAGGACATTTCCGGTGGCTGAGTCTTCACTAGATTCCGGCACGGCCGTATCTCATAGTAATCGTCGCTAGCACGATGCATTCGATAACGATGGACGGCGAGGTACTAGACTGTAGTCTAGTCGCTGCAGCATTCCCCTTAGGTACGAGATCAGTCTGGACTCGAAACTCGCCGGTTGAGAGCTCCACAGCACAGGACATCTCGTTTGCGGTTATTTCCTGCCTTTGGGACTCGGGGCTGGTTTGGGGTCGGATGTGCACGGACCTCAAGATTTCAATGGCAGAGTGGGCTGCACATGTTCCCAGTCCCTGCCAGGACAAACGGCGCGCGTTGGTTGACAGCTGATTTCCTCCGCCGACTCACATCTGGAACGCTCTTATGCAACGAAAAGAAAGAGTCTCTGAATCTACCAGAGTTTCGCTTCTCAAATCTCACCTAATTACTCCTGACAGAGTCCCGGGTATAGACCACAAACTCCATCAACCGTCTAGGCTCAAGACTCAGGCTTCGCACTTTGAGGTTGATACGAATGCCACTCTTATCTCTACGACTTTCATTTCTTGTCATTGTGCTGCCGCTAGGCTCATTGCAAGCGCTTGCGCACTTTTTCGATAGGTACATAGATAGACAGATAGTTAGTCAGACAGATAATGTTATCTGTGATTTTTGTCTCTCGCTCTCTCTCTCCCTCTCTCTCTCTCTATATATATATATATACACGAAATCGATATACACACACACAGATTTATTTGTACAAATGCTTAAATTCTTGGTCGAACTTTACAGTATAGCTCGATATACCAAAAAGTCGAACACAAATAAGCCTCACTACCTACTGGGTTATCAACAACGCAGCGCAGGCTTCCAGCCGTCAGCTGTACCGTGTGCTACTCACATGGCTTGACTACCGCGACCGAGCGTCTTGGTTTCATGTTCTTGGTGGATTGAATTTCAAGGGTTGGGGTTCGGGGGTTCTGGGCTGGGGAAGCCAGTTCTGAATAGCAAAGAAGCAACAGCTGTTTAAGGTGCATAAAGCTTGTGGGCAACTTCTCAGAAAGGCTCTGCTCTGAGTCTCCCAGAGGCTGGGATTCTTCCCAGAGGCCATTTCGACGACTCCCACACAACGGCCAAGCCTGTCTTTCCGCTCTCTCCATTGGCCGACATCCTACGCACAATGCAAAACACATGGTGCTGAGATGCAGATTTCGATGCGCGCGTCTGTCAAACAGCCAAGCTACAGGATTCACGGCTCCGACCACGTTTCTTCGCCGAAGAAGCGCCTATAACCAGCAGAACCTAACCCACATTTTGGACTGAAGCCTGCGTCCAGGGGCTACGCCTCGTCTGAGCCTCGTCCTAGCCCGAACGAAAACCCCAAGCCCGATAGTGCAAAGGCGATCCAAGGTGTCGACATGCGCAATGCTGGTGCCAGCTCTGCATCTTGACAGGGAAGCAGATGGCAATTGCTGATGGCCCCATAGCCGTGCAAAGTTTCTTAAGCCTCTGAGAAGAATCAGAAGGCGGTAGAAGGGAGCCTGCCAAAAGCCCGCTCTTGCCTCGGGGGAGCTTTTCCGGAGCCTTAATAATGATTATGTAACAAGGAACCCTGAGATGTTAAATCAAACCCATCAGTGGAGGAGAGCTGAGGAATGGCAGTCTGTGATCCCAACACCATCCGTCTGATTTGAGATTCCCATCTGCCTCCAACAACTTGCGAGGAACGAACCTCCTGCCGAGGTTCCCGGGACACCCCGTAATGGGTTTTAGGGCTTTGGCTTGGGATTCATGACCCGCAAAAGGTTGAGTCGTCCTCTCCCCCCAGAAGTCACAAAGGCCTAAACTGATGAAGCCAACAGCCTCAGAGGGGCAAGTCGTACTTCGAACAACGAGTTCCAGGCCAAATGTAATTTTGAGGGTGGTTGAGTCGCAAAGGGGCATGGCAACTGCTTCTCAACACTTCCCAACTTGGAAGGGAGTTGCCCTTCGACTTCATTGCCAAAGATACAACGTCTGCGTCTCTAGCCATAATGAGATGGCAGGACAAGTAGTATATTGCTGATTGCTGTTTCTCCTTAGCTGTTGAGAATCCCGATGTCATCTTGAAGGTATTTTTCATACGGAAAGCCCGAAACAGAGGCAGGGGCACCGTTGGAACCAAGAAAGCCACACTCTCTCTTGTCGCCTGCCCCCAAAGCATCCGTTCCGGCGGTGAACTGAGTTGGATCAAGAAGTTTCTGACTTTGATCAAGTCCCACGCACGGTCATAATTGAGATGCGAATGTAATAGCAGTGGCCCACAAGTAAAAGCAGCAGGAACCAAACCTGGGACGCTTCAACCTACATCTCGCGACTTCAAGGCACCACAGTAGTGCACCTGCTGGACGTTTGGGTTGCATCGGCTTTGAAATCTCAGGATCTCAGTAATTAGTGATTTGCAACCCGGGTTTGTGTTTGCTCTCCCACGGCTGTTGCGTACAATATTTCGAGATCTGGTTTGTCGACGACATGCGAGATATTTTAAGTCGTAATATCAGCCTCGTTGAAACAGCAGTCCAAGCCCCACATACCCAACAACTATGCCAGGAGCTCCTAAGACCATCCCACGAGTCCAAACGTGCAACTCACTATGGCGGGACCCCAGCTGGTGCTCAAAACCTACATGACTGTGACGGGAAAGCGACTTGATGCAAGTCGAACCCCAACTGTGCACCGCAATGTGGACGAATGTGTGGGACTGCTGCGGGAACCCGACTTTGGGAGGAGTCGCACCCAATCCTTGCACGGCACTGTGGCAGGAGCACGATTTCGTCAGGCGGAAACGCATCCTGTGCGCGCGCGGCACAACTGTGGCTGGAGCACGATTGCCAACTTTGCATCACTCAAGACTCTATATTGCGAGACCACACCACACTGCTTGGGGAACTAGGCTCTGAACCCAAACTCCAAAGCTCGAAACGCCCCGATTCCTGGGTCTTGACACGTCTTGAGACTCAGACATAGTGGGAGCTTCAGACAACGCGGAACAAATCGGACGCATTGGCACGAATCCTACTCTCAATGGCGGTCGCGCATCACAACGCCAAAATACCGCATGGTAACCTGGAGCTTGGGGGGCAAGCTGAATTCCGTGCATCCCTTGGCGGCGGATCTTGCAATCACGGCCTCTGCTCCTGACAGTTTGACATTCCTTGGCTGAGGTTTCCTAGACGGGTGGAGAGAGGCTGTCCTTCGGCGGCAGTAACCAGTAGTCACTCGACACTATGTGGCTGATTGCCATTGAATGCGACCTTCTTGAACATCATTTTCGCCTCTCCGAAGTCTGACGAACTGGCATTATTGTGGTTGCTGTTGATTATTGTCGTTATTTTACATATCACTAGTACTGTTACCGTCGCTAGTATTACCAATTTTCTTCATCTTTACTATCCTCTCAACATTCTTCCTATGACGGCGACGATGTCTTCTGTAATGACCAAACCAAGTTCCAAAGGCTCGTGGAGGCACTGCCCTGCAGAACAGGGACAAGACGCTAATGGCGACACATTCAACCCTGCTACATCAACCGTAACCCGAGAGAGTCTGAGCTGTGAGACCCAAATGCTTGTGGTATGTGGGCATTGTCTGTTGGATTTCAGGGGGCCTGGTGTTTCAGTGTCAAACTAAAGGCAGCAGTGCGCTCTAAAATGATCCGAAGCGCTACGTGCCACATGCTTTCCCCTAAAACTCTGAACCACGCCTCCCTGACTGCCAGGAGCTGAAGCTGTGGCGCAGACTTCTACCGGCACCCTTGGAGACTGCGACAACTTCGCCGTTGTTGCAGTGGTTTCACTCCTCTTCCGCTGCTGGGTTAGCCGACGATGTAGCAAGTGGCGATCATGACGGTCTCTGTGTAGTCAATTCCGCGAAGTCTTCCAGCGACTTCTGCGCTGAGTGTTGCCACGTCTCACTCTGGGTGTTCACCCCTCCCAAACTCAATACGGAACAGATAGCGAACGATCCCTGGAACGTGCGGTGAATGGCTTCTAAGAAAGGCGACGCTGCGCCACATGCACACGTCTCCATACCTCCATTCAGTACTGAGTGCAGGAGAAGGTACCGTGCAGATACGGCAAGGCCCCGCAAATTTCGGTTCGCTTGGCATGGGTGTAAATCCATTAAACCCCGAAGTTTCAGTTGGAGGCATACTGGTCTCTTTCAACATATTGCAGGTTTTAGTGTCATGAAGTCCCATGCGCCCATTACTCGATTCCCGGAAACCACCAGGCATGCTCAAATCGCTCGTATCCTAGGCTAAGACCTTGTGCTTGCGAAACCTCTAGAGCAAGAATCCGTGCGGTAGTGAATTCAGTTGCAATGGCACCTGATCGCGGTACTACTCAAGCTGAACTGCTTGCCGATGTGAAGAACTGCTTTTAGCTCATGATAGTGCACGTGGTGGTGATAGGGATGGGGAGCTGCCGACGAAGGAGATGAACATGATGACAGTCGTGACAGTGGTGATGAAGAAGAAGGTGATATGTGATGCTAAGGACAACAGTACTACTTTGGTTGATCGCGAGCCCAGCACGCACCGTTGTTTTACAGATGCTTTTGCAGCCTCTTAGCAAGTATAGTCTGGGCCCCTTCGGCACTGGGTGCAATGTTAAAGGGAAAGAACTTGGGCTTTCCAATTCCCCGTGCTTCCAAGCCAAAGGACCAAAGTTCACATGTTCGGACATTCGGTGCCAAATCCGAGATCTAGGCATCTAGAACCCAAAGCTGACTGTCCAGGCGCACAGACTCATTCCCAGTAGTCGGAAACAACCTCGTGGCCCTAGTGACTCAAAGCACTAACCAAACCCCAAAACTTAGATAGGGCACGGCAGAAGTCACTAAAGTCAGTAGTAGTCGCTTCGCTAGAGTAGGAGGCAGGTGCACTAAGAACTAAGCATGACAGTAAAGCAACAGGCCCTTGCCGCACGCACCGCGACTCCTACTCAGACCCCGCGCTCGCAGCAATGGGTCGGCAAAGTCTACATGCAATCGAAAGACTAAGGATTTGGTTCGGGGGTTCAGGATTTCCTCGGAGACCCTAACCAAACCCCGATAATCTCTGGAGGCATTCGGCTACAACATGTTCTTCCGGACGTTGGGGGAAGTCGGGCCTGGTAGGGTCGGGCTTGGTTTATGCAGCCTTCTGCCTCCAACTTCACGGCTGAGGGCCCAGGCTCGCGGGGGCTTCAAAGCCGTGATGCTCGGGTACAGCACGAGACTTAACAACAGTTTCGGATCTAAGAGTCCTATCGCCCGAAAGAAACAAACCGCCAATGTTTCAGTGGCCAGACCCTACACTGACACCTAGCACCGCCAGTTGAAGTCGTACATACCTGGAACAGCGAGCAGCAAACACTTGTCGAGCAATGTCTGCCGACCCACGCTGCAAAGGTGACAGGAGAGCGCTCCGGCGGCGGAGACGATCTGTCGCACGACTGAGCCGGGGCACCAGAAACCGTACAGCCCGTGCATTTTGGTGTCATTCAGGATGTCCATGTGGTAACCCTCCATTAGAAACTCGTCCGATGCTGCGACTTGCTACGACCTGGACCAGCCGTTCATGACCACGAATAAATAACACTAGCAAGTCGAACATGGCTCTCATTCGTATCGCCACGGTCCGGTTATCACCGAATCCCGCACCGGAAGCACCCTCCTGTCTCCTGGATGTCAGGGGTCTTACACTTCGTGCCGTTCGAAGACGTCTGCGTGAGGTGCCGCCGGGAAAACTGGCGGCTCTGGCTCGGAGAACTCCGACTGTATTCAATCGCTAAGTCAACTACTATAATAATAATAATAATCATAATGAGGCAAATTTGTAAAAAAATTGGGGCTCTAGGGTCTGAGACCAATCGAGGCTTTTCAAAGATCCGGCCGGCCGCCAGTTTTCAGCCGCAGCCTACATGCAGGTGTTGTCCAAGCAAAGACCCAATTGGCATAAACCACAGGTGGTGCAGCCTGGATCAGGTGGGTGCTGGGTTGAGGCCATACGTAGCACATTGGGTTGACAACTAGGTGAGCCAAGCGGCCCTGCACTGTACTTACGGGTCAGCTCTGGCTGAGAATGAACCTATGCCAGCTTGCACGAGTCCTGGAAATCCAAACAAGCCATGACCGCATTGACCAGGACAAGAAGTTCAAAACTCAGAATGGTACTGATCAGCAGAGCGCTTTTCGTAATCACAATGGCAATGATCACTTTCTCAGCAAAATCGACAACGACATACAAACAGTGATAATGAGATCTCGCAGGACGAACGCCATGCCCAGTTCATATATCCCCAGAACCAGAAGTATGAGGATTTCGCGAATTAAAGTCCAGCATGAGAGGATAAGTGCTGAGAGCCCGGCCGGGATTGCTTTGCAACGGGCCACTTTCCACTGTATTGACATCCTCAATGGTCTTGACCCTCCTCGGATAAGGAAAACTGAGGATGGAGTAACTCGCCGATGGCACCAATCCGCGATTCGCCATGCAGGAGCGAATTCCCCAGCACACCAAATTTTTGCTTGCGGAATCTGGGATCCCGGCAATGCAGTTTTCCAAAACAAGAAGATCACACCACTGGCGGTTGCGACGTACCTGGCCGGCAGTTGAAGATCCGGGTGCTTACCTGGTACGAACCCAGGCCCACAGGATGCTAAGAACAAAAATGCATCTAGCTGAATCCAGCCCCAATCCATGAGGAGCAAACACCCTCAACCCAAAAGACGAAGGGCGGAGCAAGGAAAGGGCTTGAAAGGGCTTTGGATGGTTTTGGGTCGAGGTCCGGGTTCCCGAAAAGCCGTGCAGCTCTGAAGTTTAAGTTCCTGTAACAGTTTAGGGTTTAGTTTAGGGTTTTGGGTTTACTGTAGCTGAAGCACCTTCAGGTCCGTTCTCTCGTCTCCACGACATTCAAACCTTGCCGAATCCCGAGCTTCACTCGATCAAAACCGTCGACCCGCTCACCAAGCGGCCCAAAAACAGCAAAGATGGATCTAGCAGGGTGCAGGGATCTTCGTGCGGATGGCTTTTGCTCTCAGCAGACTCCTCCCTGAATGCACGCGGAGCCCTTTCTCCCAAACCCACCCCCACTTGTGCCGGTCGCACAAGCACGACACGCAGGAAAGCACGAAAGTGCCCAAAACGCTGGTATGGATCGTGTAGTGAGCCTGCGCAGACGGAGGCTGGGACAGTCTGCAGCTCATAAGAGGGTCCTCGGGTCCGCACAGCTGCCTGACAAGTCCGCAGAAGTTTCATCTCATGGACACCCTGCACGCGTCTTCTCAAGGCTCCGAAAGCCCCAACCCCCAAACCGCTGGAGCACGGCGGGAGTGGAGCTCCGAAAACGATTCGAAAAGGGATGAAAAGGGGACCACCAGAAGAGACCCGGACGGTGCGGTGTCAAGGACGGCGAGTGTCTTTGCAGTACAAGTAGTCACCGATACCGCCCAGTGTTACCCAGCTGTTCTTTTGCAAACCTCCATGCTGAAACTAATGTGCCTGATGCAGCCAGGTCAGCCAGGGATGAATGGCTACCTTGAGCGGCCGGTGTTGGCTTTGCAGTGATGCGCAGCTTCAAGGTTGGGCTCACGCCTTGCGAGCTTTGTGGCCGTATCCCACTGTGTAGATGTTGATTCCTGTTTTGCTGTCCTGTGTTGACTGCTCACCACAAAAGACTTTCGATTTCCCGGAGGCGACTAGATGTTGCCCGAAGACCATGAGCTTAAAGTTCTTGAAACTTGAACACTCCCCAAGATGCTATGCCCTTCTTCAACCCTGGGCTCCTGTGCAGATTCAACTCGATGCTTGATTCATCAAACCGCGACGTTCGCTACGCCCCTTGAAATCTTAGTGCCTCCTACGAGTAACCGTTTCCAGATCCGAACACTGCAGCATGATGGTTTGGTTAAACTCAGATGCTAGCTGCCTGTCATTGAAGCATTCGTCCGAGCAGTGACAACAAGAAGAACGAATCAGGCTCCTCATCAGCATCATGACAACCATCGTCGGCTACACTATCACGCTGCCTCGCACCATGCGAATAAGGATCGTTAGGCCCGTTAGGCAAGGAGACGTGAGAAAATAGCGGCTGCCTTCAACCACGAGCCCTTCCAGCTTACATTTTCCGTCGTTGAAACTTCGAAGTAAGCTGCTAAGTGCCGAAAGTTAAGCACCTGGCGCGTGCAAAAGAGCAAGCCCTGGATCTCACACCCGAACTGCCCACTCCGGAAATGTTATCGACGTCCTTGAAACATGAACTGCTGATGTGGTGAGCTCTTCAGGTGCTAAGGATTCGGGGTGTCCTGCAGCTTCTAAGAACCGGACGCTCCAACGCGCGCCTCTCCCGAAACCCACCACTTTTCCCCAAACAGCGCGGGAACTCTTCGGAGTTCTAACGCTCCGGGTAGGGAGGTATTGTTCATTGAGCCCGCGAGGCGCCTGTGGATCTTTCGCTTCTCACTATGCGGTGAACATTTTGGACTCATGTCCAGGATTTCCAGAGTCCGTCGCGCTCGACTTCATCGTAAATCTGCAAAATCCTGAAATAGGGATGTTTTTGGGGCTTGTGCTCTCACAGCGCTCGAAGTTCCTCAACTCCTGGCAGGTCCCAACAGGGCCGTGCCGTGAGGCTCGTCGAACTCTTTGTTGTGGGACACTTGACCCCACCACTCCGTGCGGGGAAAGATTTTGAGGGTGCTTTGTGGTGGTACCGGTGGTCCTCGTCTCATCAGGGTGCACACCCTGTGCGATCATCTGCGCTGGCAACATAAAGCGTGACACCTAAAGGAGTTCCGAAGAAACGTGGTGAACATGACTCCAGGCACCCGTGGGCAAGCTCAAAACACCCTCTAAAGTACCAGGACCATCCAGGACCCAGGGGCAAGAGCCGCCCAGCGCTGCGGTTGAAATGCCCGCAGCGAAACCTGATCGGCTTGAGGGCCCCGAGGCCGAGGTAGATTTTGGAATTATGAGGTCAGACTTCGGTTGTGAGGTTTTGTCCAGGGCTGCATGCTTTGGGGTCAGTTCGGGTAATTGAATTAGGGAGTTTGGGATTTGTCCAGACTACGGGTTTGGGGCACTACTGTGGTGTGCTTGATTCGGTTCCGTGGCAGAGAGGGCCTCTGGACTTGCTTCTTAAAGCGTTTTCGGGCTCGGGCTCAGGGCTTACTCAGTTTGACGGGGAGAGGCAGTCTGGAACAGCTGCACATAGCTGCAGCAATCGAGGCTGGAAGCCAAGAGACGAGGGATTGATTGGCTCTCTGATCCGAAACCATCTCAGGGACCCTGCTTTGGCAACCTAGCCTGAAACCGGATACTTCTGCGGCGTAGATGAACCTGCTGCACTGATACACCCGAAAAAAGAAGCCAAACAGACATAGCGAGCCAGGGACCAAATAAAACAACATTGCGAAAAAGCCGAAGATGTGGAAGTATCGCCACCTGCTGCTCAGCTGGCTTTCTCAAGGACAAGTTGGGGAGGGAGTCCCACCACTCTGTACGTATTTGAAACCAACCCGGGCCACCTTTGTGGACCAACACGCGCCTATTCAAGACCATCTCTCTCACCTCTGCTGATGGTAAGGAACCGGGCATGCCTTGCTCCCAGCTATGTCTTCCATGACTTCAATCACTGCAGATTTAGCAGGATGTTGACCGGGTGCAGCTCAAGACTGAACACATGTGCATGCCGCCGCGCGGAGTGGGACTGAGACTAATGCACTGTTTTGGCTCCTGAGCAAACATAATTTCTCGATGCCTCAAACTTGAACAGGAGCATCGTGTGCAGTCATATGGCATATGATTGTTCGAATACAACCACCTGTGCCTACCGGACAAATACCAGGAGTCAGTCCTACAAGCTGTGCATCCCAGAAAATACCTTACGCTGCTAGGTGCAGGGCGCCAACATTGTGAACTTCACATTCAGGAATCGGAAGCCAAACTCCTAAGCCCAATTCCCATCCAGTGCCTGTGCGGGGTGTGCCAAATCATTTGGATTCCGCGATGGAACCTGCTCAGGTCTGCCCGGACAACCTTCTAAACGCTCAGTCCCAGACTGAAGATGCACAGGGTTGTGTAGCATCGTCCTCTCGCCTTTGCCAAGCTATCTTGCCCACCACAACTCTTTCCCCCTACACCGCACGCGTTTGTGCCCCGGACTGGTGCAGGTGCCAAAGAACAAAGCAAGCACACTCCAACAAGGCAGTGAGCGCGCAAAATGGACAGAAGGCAAAGGAATAAACTAGCGGATTTGCGCGACACTGCAAAGTTGGGTGGCCGTGACAAAGCAGTCATAGAAAAGTCGCTCAAGTTGGGTTGGGTGTCGAGGGAAAGACAGCAAAGTACGACCAAACGACGACCAACGTAATCAACGTGAGCGGCGAAGGGGGTCATTGACTACGGTACCAAAAGGGCATTGCACGAAATGGTACAAAACTGCATGACCTGAGTCTTTGGGAGGCTCAGCGGCCCGTCACCTGAATTAGCATGACTGGAGACAGGGGGTTTCCCCGTGTTCGTATGGTACATGTTGCCTCGAGCGGAGGCTGGAAATGACTGAATCTGGGAGGCTCCGGCGGCCCGTCTAAAACGAATTAACCAATTTGCAAGGACCTGAGGGGGCGGCGCCCCTGACATGCGAAACGCTCGGATGGAAAGAAAAGGTACTGCTCGTACCTCATGAATCATGCAAGCTTGATCCCAATTCATGTAGTCCAGCCACTCAAGAAAAACAAGAAACAGGAAACCACTCGCTCAAGCGTTGAATCCCCGCATTGCGTTGAGGCTTCAGGCTCTGATGTGTTCCATCTCAAAGGCCTAGGGAAGGTTTTTGGGGGTTTCCCCCGCTCAAGGTGAAATGCCCCCTCAGTTTTTTCTGCACTCCATCCTTGCCTCATCTTTCTGCCCCTGTCCTTGCCTGCGCTGGTCTCGTCTGTGATGACTTGGTTGCGGTCCTGTACACCTTCCACATGTCCTCGTCGTTGTGGTACTGGTCGAGGCCGTAGGGCACGTTGCCATCCGCATCTCTGTCTTGGAGTAGTTGCTGTAAACGATTTCTCGGTCTCGCCGTAAGTCTCGAAGGTGCCCCCGAAGGCGAGGGTGGAGCACTGTCTTTGGGGTGACGTCCCCCAGTATCAGAGGCTGGCGAGGGTGCCCCCGATGCTGAGGCAGGATCCATGTTCCCCATGTAGAGGGTTCCCGCATCTGCACTTTGTTGGGTTTCCCCAGGTCCAGAGCTCTCGGCAGTGTTGTTTGTAGCGGCCTCGTCCGAAGCGGCTGGGGAGTTCCCCGTGTTCGGTCGTCTGAGCGGCATGTGGCTGTCATAGTCAGAGGAGTCCTCGACCCTTCAAAGGCAACGCCTTCTCCAAGGGGCAAGTTTCGCAGTCTTGGCGTCTTCCCCTGCTTGCGGCGTTGGCAAAGGGTTTTGCCGAAGTTCCCAGGGCTCAATACTGCACCGGCTGCCTCTTGGTCGGCTTGTGGAAGAGGATGGGCCTGACGTAGTAGTCGAAGAGCGCGTGGTCGTTAAAGAGGTCGAAGAAGAAGTGCGTGGCTGCCCTGGTAGAGGTGGCGGTGTAAGAGCAGCAGGAGGGCTTGCAAAGGCACGGAGTGGGTCTACCTTTGAGCTGTATGGGGTACGTCCCCAGAGGCCGAGCCTGCGCCAGGACCTAAGAATTCGAGGAGGAACTCTTGCACAGGATCGGCCTGGTCTGAGGCAAAGGCGAGGTTGGCTTCACTGGGTTCCCCCATGTTGTCTCCCGGTTCAGGTTGAGGCGACCTGTTCTTCTTGTTTTCTTTTTTCTTTCTTTTTTTATCTTTTCCTATGGTCTCTTCTCTCTCTCTCTTTCTTTCGCCAGGGCTAGGGGTGGAATCCCTCCCTCCCTCACTCTCTCCCCCTCACTAAGCCCCCTGAGAAACTCTCTCTAGACATGCAGTGTGGCTTCACTATGGCATGCTTGCCGACAGACTATGTTACTTTGTCCACAGAGTGTGAGTCAGTGTGAAGGTGATCGGTTCCGCGGCTCCCGCTGTGGGAGAGGTGCTGGAGTTTAGCCGGCCCCGTCCGCTTACTGCAAAATGCAACGAATTCGTGCTCCGTCACTTCGTGCGCCGAACCCTGTCGCTCAGAGCTGTGCGAGAACCGCTCTCGTCACAGCGTGGCTCACAAGTTTGATGTAACATCGCCTGCGGGATGTGCTATCGCAGCAGCGTGCTAGTGGGCTTTTCGGGTTCCGAAATGGGAACTGCATCTCTCGCCTCAGTTCCGTTCAAGTTTTGCGGAATTCGTGCATTTTGTGGAAGGATCCCGCGCTTTTGCACCTCGTGCGCTTTCGTTTGCCAGTGCCGCCGTCTGCACTTGGATCGGTCTTGGAGCGTGTCCTCTTCGCGAAGGGCAACACTGTGGACTTTTGTGTCCGGCTTCTGAAGCCTTGAGGACTCATCTGCCTTTCTTGGAAACCTTTCCCCTAACCACCGACCCCTAGATGGTGAAGTTTCCCACGCCAGGCATGTAAGACAGGCCTCATCATGCTTTGGATACCTCGGGAAAAGAGGCGACCAAGGATCCCTTAAGAGCCCGCCGCCGCTGAACCTTCCCATGCTTCGGACACCTCAGAAGAAACACAACTGGGGGTTTCCGAAAATAGGGGACCCTAGTATAGTACCCTAAATAGTAGGATCCTTATTATAAGGACCCCAAAAGAAGGAACCCCTTAATTCCGGAAACTCCCAACTGGCCTTTGGCTCACGGAGACGCTCATCAAGGGTGCGGTGAAAGCCAGGAGGACGCACACCTCCTGTCTTACCAAAAGCCTATAGTCTCCATTGTAGTTCCTTTTTTTGGTTGAGCCAAATATATAATAAGGATTTTGTAAGGTATCCCCAAAAAGGAACTACAATGGAGACTATAGGAGGAGTCGGCTCTTCTGTGGCAGATTTCTCGAGGTTTCTCTTCGCTTGGCCACTCCTTCACCGGAGTCCTACCAGTCCTTCGGGCGCTTCAGCTTCGTAAGGGGGTGCTTGGGAGTCATACCAGGCATTCTTGACCTGGATTGTGGCGCAGGAATTGGGGTGCGGGGATCGGCGTGGCTGTTAAGAGCATCCCTAAACAGTAAACGACTGAGACTGAGGCACTCCTTATGCACACCTGGCGCCTCTGAGAGATAATCGCTAAACGTGCTATGCTAACTTTAACGACTACTGCTACAAGTACTGCTGCGACTCGTACACCGCATTCCTACTGTTGCACTGCTTACTTGTCTTCGACGTTTATTGTTGTTTACTCTCGTTGATCCTTCTTAGTTTCAGCATTTTGAAAAGCTTGCTTTGATCTTGTTCGCTGTTACTTCCAGTTGTATTATTTGCGAGCGCTACAAACAGGGATCTAGCAACCTGCGCCGGAACCATTCAGACCGCAGGTGCTTGGGCCGTTCACCTTCAGCTTGCACGCTTCACTTCGATGCCCGAACCCTAGACTGACAACACTGATGAACTCACACAGAGCTGCACAAACGATGATAATAGCAATTTCTTTTGACACCGGCGAACATTCTGAGCACTGGCGGCAAGAACAACAAGACTAGTGCTACCAGTTGTAATTTTCATTATCACAATCAGGGATACAAGCCACAGTATACATCACTCGAGTATTCTGGTGATGTCGATTCTGATACGAAGAATGATGGTGATGTTGATGGTGGCCATGATGGCGACCATAATGATGTTGCCGCTGACAACACAGTATCCTGACTGTCGCAGACTCCTGAAAAGCATGATGATGGGGAGGATGGTAGTGGTGATGGTGATTCTGATTGTGATGCTGCTGCTCATGATATGACGACGAGGAAGATGTTTCCCAGCTGCTATTAATCAGGAAAGTATTATTGTTTTCTTTACAGGGCTGCGATCAAACCAACGCCCCATGCCCAAACTTCCGAAAGCTCGGGACGGCCTTGTTGACTTTACCGTCTTGAACGCAGTAATGTTCTGCAAGTGTGTACATCCTCAGAGCTCTTGGACAAAAGTGCGCAGAACCTTGTCATCCTGTGGTCCTGTCAGGCTCGACACTAACTTCCACTTGTGAACTGTCACCACCACGACCATGACCATACGGGGAGGGCTTGCTACTTGCGACTGTGCGGCCATACAAAGAAGAAGGCCATCAAAATGAGCCTTCGGATCACGAAGCGCCATTCCTGATGCCCCAGGAATTCAAGATGCGTAGTGTGTTGTGTGCATAAGGTATCCGACAAGCTTCGCAAAAAGTAGTTTTCCTGCAAAGGCATCCTTGATGTCTTCTCACGATCCATTGGAGCTCGTTGGCTTCAACGCTTGGGTAATGCAGGCAACGCAGGGACAACGACGGTAGCTTTCAAGGGCAGAACACAGCTCTGAGAACTACACCCTGCTAAAGCAACGGGCGTACCTAAACCAAACATCCGTATATATCAACAACAGCGCACGCTTTTCATGCATCTGAACTGGGCAACATTGACCCTTGTCCGGCTCCACCCAAAACCCTAAGCTAAACTCTCAGTCACCGGGTTTTCGGGTTCGCCATTCCGTCTCGGGGTGATGTAGGAAATGTCCGCAAGCACCAACTACCACTGCGTCATCCACAAGTCTGAATCTGGGGCTTGGATCTCAAGGCTTCCGAGTCAAACAGCCAGGCAGCTGAAGCGTGAACAACAGTTAATCCGCTCCCGAATCACGACGCCGGATGGCAAGCAACATCGCCACCACAATATTGGTTTCTGCGTTACCCCTGACTGAACCCAATTCAAAACGCCAAGCCTTCCGCGTCGCGGAGAGCAGCTCTGCGAGTGTTTCGGGAAAGCGCCTGCGGATGATTGTCAAGTTAAGGCGCCCGAGTCCTGGAGCGGACCCAACACAAGACCGCACTTCACAAGGTCCACACTGAGCCCCATTGCACACAAAATTTTCCGAGCCCCATGACCTAGCACTGAAATGCCATGGCCAAAATCCTGAGCAACACTTGTTTCTCCAGGCTTTGCTAGGCCACTCGAAGCGATTCAACTGCTCCGGGTGGCTTCAAGGGCCACTCACCTGCCCAACCAAAGCCAGTGGTGTCGTTCTGTCACGGCCATTGCAAGAATACTATCCAGGACTTTTCTTTATGGCCTTTCAAGATTGGTGCCCCGAGAAGTCGCCATAGAAAGCAGCAGGCTGCACAGTATGATATCTGGCTCAGCTTCCAGGGGCTCATATTGATGGAGCTGATTGCAAGTGCACAAAGCAAACAGTCACACCCTGCGGCGATAGGCGGGTTTGCAGTGTATTCTGCGACGAATTCGAAGCCGTCACCTGGGGGCCATATGCCAGTGCCTGTCGCCGTTCCAAATTCCCTGAACTGGGAAACGAAGAAGACTCACCATAGCCATCCCAAGGCAAATCCATTCACCACTCTTGCTGAAACTGCTTCGTGGGTCTCATGCTTCTGGGCTGATTAGCAGCTTCGGGGTAGTCCCAGGAGACGTTCCGTTGGCCATGCACCTATGCTACTTCGACTTAGTGTTCTGCTGGCGCAAAATTGCGTGCACAAGGAAGCAGCTGCTGGAGACTTCACCAACACGGGGTACGAGAGCCTTGCTTGGAGGGTGAATCTTGAACCCTCGCACTTAGCGCCCGCTGCTCTCTCACACATACACCATCCTGTATGAACAAAGATCATCGTTGCCATCCTCATTAGCTGCTTCGTATGCTCTCAGTTGGGTGATGGAGCTCCGAAGGTCTGGAAAGAACTCGAACAGCTGTAAGCAGAATGAGTTAGGTTGCTCCTACTACTCGGCATCTTTGTAGCAAGGGGCGGTTGACAGATGAATGATAGCATGCAAGTTTTGCTTGTCTTTTGGGCCAAGTCCCTGCGCACACAGAGCTCATGACAATGCGTGCTGGGGCTGTTGCCAAAACGTGCGTACTACCGTATGCATAAGTGGGACGACGCATTGCGACTGCTGAGGAAACGATGAGCACGGAGCTTTGCCACGAGACTATTGATCACTCATGGAGAACAACTGCCTGCACCACCCGGTCCTTAACTCATGTTCGGCCAATGCTCTTAGAATCTTCTGGCTTCGGTCTGGTCTCTGCTCAGAAGAAAGGGTAGCCGTAGCCCGGCTTGCCACAATACCTCACTGCAGAAGCTCAAATTCAAGCCTCTGAAAAGTATACTGAGTCCACTTCCAAGTGAGGTCTAGTGTCTAGCGGCCCAGGTCCTAGATATCTCATGCACGTTCCCAATCCCCGAACCCCGGCTTGGAACCGAAGGCCTCCGTTCAGACCTCGATCCATGCGAGCGTGCGCGACATGAAGCTGACTTTAGGATCAAGTGTCCAGAACCCGAAGTGGGGATCCTCACAGAGCTACTTTAAGAAAGGGTGCTGGCGATGTCACGAACCCTCTAAGCCCTGCCAGCAAGCCCGAACCCGACCCTCTACAGACCTCTCTAAATGGGGCCCTTGCCTGCACTTGTCAGGTGCCTTCTCTCCGAGTGTCCTGGGCCGGTCAGGTTTTGGCGGTGGAACCGGTTTCAGATGGCTTCAGGAATCAGGTTGAGGACCTGGTCTGGGCACTCTTTAACAAGAAGGGCGCCATGGTGGCAAGGGTAATGTAGGGTAGGCTCCGGTTGCTTGATGACGGTTCATGACGGGTGCTTCGGTGCTTCGTCCGGCTTGAGACACTGAGCCGAAGTCCCGAATCTGTTGGTCTGTTAGCGCCTATCCCTGCGGCCTCAAGACCCTGTACTGCTGAAAGACCGTAATCCTGAAGGCCTGCAGCCGGACAGCTCCAATGAAGTTCCCGTAGCTGATCCCCGGACCCGGGCGTCAAAGCAAGTAAGGTCCAGTGAAGTTCAGTGATGCAGCAGGACTCCCCAAGATGCCACACATGCAGGCCATGGGTAGACCCACACCGGGATCGGGATTTCCGGTTCAGCGTGAGTTGAGGTTCTTGATTCGAAGGCATTTAAAGCTTCGGGCCTGGGATGGCCTGAGGGGTAGGTTTTTTGTTGGCGAGCTTGACGACCAAAGTAGGCCGGAACCTACATCACGTCATCCGACCTTAAACCGACGACAAGGACCCTTCTGCTTGTAGAACCTCGGCGTGATGAGCCGAGAGTCTGTGACTCCAGGAGCCGTGCGCAGTTGGAGCAACGATCCTCTCTCAAACTGTCAGGTTGAAGAATGGGGCTCCAGGCTTGCAGGTCCCGCCAGTGCAAGATCGCTTTATGCCACTCATTGAACCCACAGCTTTCAGCCCGAAACCAACCGAAACGGCCTTCCAAGCATTGCGATGTCAGGCTTGTCTCGAGCTTCGAAGAACACTACGAGTAACTAGGACGAAGCTCATGACGCCTTTAAGCCGAGCCGGAGACCCGGTTTCGCAGGCCCAGCCTGGTGCCGAATCTCGCCGTGGGTCTTCAGGAACGCCTGGGCGACTGGAGGATTCCAGCTGGGTGCATAGGCTTTCGTCGAAGGTGGCATCGTGACCATCGCTGTTCCTATCTCGCACAGCCTGTGGTCCAGAGTCTTGGCCCACACTGGCCGTTTGCTTTCGCAGCAAGAAGCTGAGGCGATAAGATGGAGTTGCATCTGTGGCCATTGTCGATGCAGCTTGGTGGGAGCCGAGGAAGCAGCTAGGAAATACCAAACAGTACCAAGCTCCCGCATCAGTCCTTGATCGCTCTCGTAAAGAAAGCTCCCAGACCCTGTGACGCCGTGGCACCCACGGGAAGCCGCAACAAGAGCGCCTACACCCACCCGAGCGCCGTGGCGCCGTGCCTGCATCGAGCCCAGCGTTCGCATCTGCCCTCGGCTGCTCCTCGGCGGGTCAAAACAGTACCCAGGCCCAGGGGACAAAAAAACTCCGGATGTCCCGCTTTCAAAGCACTCATAGATCTTAGTGGAACACCCGTCCAACTTATGTGAAATCGCAAAGCCTGGGTCTGACTCAGGGTCAGGGTGGGAAGGAAACTTTGCAGGACGTGAAAACGGCGACAGTTCTCGTCCTCAGCTTGACTTGGTCACTTGGTCTATGCAAGGGAGTGCTCGCGCTCTTAGTTGCTTGCTTGTCTGCCTAGGGTATGGAGACGCCGAAGGGGCCTAATTGGATTCTCCATACCCGTAGCAGGTAGCAAGCAAGTTGGTGCATGCTCGCATGCACTCGTTGCCCTCGCCCTCGCCCTCGCTCTTGTTCTCTCTCTCTCTCTCTGTCTCTCTCTCTGTCTCTCTCTCTCTCTCTCTCTGTCTCTCTTCTTCCACACAGTCAAGAGCACGGCAGGCATCGCTCTTCACTTCACTCTCTCTCTCTCGCTCTCTCTCTCTCTCTCTTTGCTTTGCTTTGCTTTGCTCGGGGTAAGAGTGTTGAGTCAGGGGTTCCCCCCAACTCGCGCCTCTCTCTCTCTCGCCCTCCCTCCCTTTCCCTCCCCCTGTGCACGTGCAGCAGCCGCACAAACAAACCGAGAGACAGAGACAAGCAAACTAGCAAGCAGCAGCAAGCAAGCAACCAAGCAAGCAAGCAAGCAAGCAAGCAAGCAAGCAATCAAACGCACGCGCCGACGCATGCACAGACAGACAGACAGCCCGCGAGCCAGGCAGGCAGACAGAAAGAGACAAGCGAACAAGCAAGAAAGGAAACACACACACACACACACGCACCTAAGCAAACAGACATGAAAACAAATGCACCGACGCATGCACAGACACAGACAGACGGACAGGCAGACAAACGGAGAGGAAATCAAGCAAACCGTGAAGCCTTCTTGCAACTTCCCATCCCAATACCAAAACACTCAGCATCTTGGAGTTCGAGCCCTAATGTTGCTTGTTTGATTTGTGCAGCTCTGACAACCTCTTGGCCAAGGCTCCGGTGGCTCTGCATGCCGGGAAGTCCAGAGTTCTTCGCGCTCCAAGCTTTCGCCTTGGCTTCTTACTCCTACAGCGATGTCTTATAACGTCTTCCAGGATTCTCACGGCAAACTGAGGCAGGCATCAAGCTCGGATAAGTCGATGAAACAAGACGGTGGCACGCCAAACGATCAGCATCTCCAGGTGGGCATGCG